TGCGTTCATGCGAGGACACTTAGCACATGGAGAAAAGAATGCGGTCAGTTCATACGTCACCGCTGTTTACAGAGCCCGCACTTCAAAATTACATATTTCTGCAACCCCCCCCCCCCACTCCGCTCCCAAGTTTACTTCATAATGTTCACAATTTAAAGTTTGTGTTGTCTTATGTTGATCAACTAAGAACTGACTAAGATCTTGTTTTATGGTCTCAGTATGTTCCCTCTACACAGATGACATTAAGCTACTCTGTTACAAATTTGCACGTTTCTGATTTTTTCTGGATTATTTAATGTAGAGTTCATATTGTTCACCTAAGATCCTGTTTTATGACGTAGTCCGATTACATGCTCCCTTTTCAGATTGTATAAGCTACTGTCCTGTGTGATTCTGTACAGCTTATAGAAACTATCTTGCCCAGACAGATAGTTAAAATGACACACTTGCTACACACTACCAATCTCAATTTTCTGTTTGAATCTAAGCAGCAAGAGCTGCTTGTATATCATCGTTATGCTAAAGGTTATGTGGCATAATTCATCCTCTGAATAAATGTAATGTTATGACTTGCAAGTATAGGTTACTTTACATGTGGATTTGTAAATCTTAAGCTTTTTTATTGACAAAAGATGTGTGTGAAATCCTACTTAAAGGGACACACATTACGGCATCTGCAAATTACTTGTATGCAGTGTAATGAAGCTGCACAACCGTATAAATACATCACGGAGTAAGTACGGTGTCATACTACGTCATTGAATGCATTGTGTGGCATTGTTAATTTAAAAACGGGGGTAATATTACAAAGTGCACAGTCTTGGTAAAGATAAAATTTCAGGGGCATTCACAAACTCAATGGGTGCGTGTTGGGTTTTTATTTTTACCTGCGGGTGGCTCCTTGGGTTTCCCAGCACATTGCTCGGGATGTGATTAAGTGCTGGAGTTGCTCTCCTTTTTTTTTGTCTCTCTGGACCATCTGCCAGCCGCGTGGCAGCGTGTGCTCACGGATGTGGCCGGGGGCCTGAGGTTCATGAGAAAATCCCTCCCACGGCACACGTCGCTTTCACGAGCCTGGGAACGCCACGCCTATTGCTCACAGCTAGCCCCGCACACCCACTGAGCCATATAATAGCTTTGTCCTCTTTATTGTGTCGGGTGACCTGACAATGCTACAGGTTTCTTCAAAGCCAAAGCGACTCATGCCCACACTTGTTTATCGTCTTTAGTAAAACTTTATTTAAAATTTTGTACGGCGATTTTTGAAGCAAAACATTTTCCCAATTATTTTTCTTTCAATTTTTGCTATCAGCGTCGTGCCATGAGACTAAGGCATTTGCATTCAAAAGTCTGCAGCTACTAGTGCATCACCCTGTGTCAGAGAATGGCCCCAGAAGATGATGTCACAAAACGCCTCCTGAGGTCACTTCAATAGGCCTCTTTATACACACAAGGGACACAACCTTTTATGTGCCCTGCAAAGCGTGCTTGTGGAATGTCAATCCAACCGAAATAATTCTCAGTCTTAACATTTTTGCGAAAACCAACATTTTATTTGATGGGGGTTTTTTTCCGTGTGTGTGTGTGGAGTTTATTGGTGACTGGCAAGAGACCATGAACTCGGTAGACTTGTGAAGCCGGTTTAATGACGCGTGTCTGTCCCCCAGTCGAACCCAGGCGCTCAGGCGTGTCGACTCATGGCTGTGAGCCACCTGGCCACCTGCCCTTCATAAAAGCGTTATTTTGTGTTTGTACTTCAAAAAGATGATTGTTAACTTCAATTGCGATTTTGACATTTGTGAAATCCTATTTAGTGGACAATCAATGCAATGTAATTGTTTCTATTAAGCGTCTTCTTTAAATAAAAGGCAAAAGATGAAACCTTAACAGATTGCTGGGGCAAGTGCTGTTAGCGAGCACCTATGAATGCCAGCACGGCACACAAGTGGGTGGGTGGCCAGCAACACCCCCATACCGCCTTTGTCTCCCCAGTGGAGATATTTACACACCGCACTAGGTACCCATTTGGGGCTGAATCGTCCTCGGGGAGACCCAAGGACTGGTTCAGATAATCGTCACTGGTGTTGACCGTGAGCAGGAATCGAACTCGGGTGGTCAGGTTCATAGCGCAGTGCACTAACCGCTACAATACCGCTCTCCACGAAATAAAAACTAGTTTTTATGAATGATAGCTGGCCAGTTGGCTCAGGGGTCAGAGCAATGAGATGGCACGGCTGAGAGCCTCGGTTCAACTGGGGCACAGACACCCGTGATTAAACCGGGTTCTTAAGGCTTGCGAGTGCATGGTCTCATCCCAGTCATCAATAACTCCATAAAATAACACCCCAATCACGTAAAATGTTGCTTTTATTTATAGAAGACAAGTATTAGAAACCATTTTATTGGATTGTTTGTTCACAAAATAGCATTTGACTGGGATTTCAATAATTCTAACATTTCTAAATGAGCTGCTTTGCTTACATTACCTCCAATCACAATCCGAATGCCCCATTATGGAGGTGACTTGTGAAAATTTGGAAGTGTTGCCAAATTAATGCATGACTGGCTTTTAAAAAGTACGTTTTAAAAATCTCCTTAAGTGCTATGAATATAATGAAATAAAGTGCATTTTTACAGCTATTATGCAGTGCGAATGAGCTCGCATACTCAATGATGCAGTGTGAAATGAAATCTTTATTTGAGAATGCACTGTAAAATTTGCGTGTATAAACGAAGGTTAATTGGATGAAACATCTTAATATACAGAAGACTGCAGATGTTGGGCACTGGTTGACAGCACTTGACTGTCTTACAGCTTGTCTGTGCTTCCTGAACGATTGTCATATACCATCCGCCCGAATAGCGCTGTATAAAACTAAAAACTTAAATAAATGTAGTGTGCAGTATTTAATTTGTACATATACAATTTGTACATGTAGAAATTACATGTAGAGTTTTCATTGAAATTTTTGTAAATGTACAGTCGTTTAATCAATCCACTGCTGCGGTTGAGGGCCTCCCCGCGCCGTGCAGGCAATGAAGAAGACAATCATTAGAAGCCATACCTCAGCGTGCCTGGCGAGTGTTTGTTTGTGAGGTTGCGGTGGACTGTCTAGACACGGGTACAGAAATGTAGTACAACTGATCTTTCTGCCCTGCACTCTGTTGCCCACCACGTAGCCCCACAACCCGATGACAACAACCTTTTTGTGCATAAGTCACCCATCCGGGTGCCATGTAGAATCAACCCCGCGTAGTTTCTGAAATCTCACGAGACTGGGTGTATTCTGGGCGATTTCGTCAAAAAGGCTTAGTAGCATCTTCTTGGTTCTTTCGGTAAAGTCACGTAGAAGGAAAGTAATAAAATAATAAAAATATTTTTATTATTTTATTTTAAAATAATATTTTTATTATTTCATTACTTTCCTTCTACGTGACTTTACCGAAAGAACCAAGAAGATGAATCCCTGCAGTCACGAAAGCTTTAAATCGAAATTTAGGCTTAGTAGCATTTACTGCATATTAAATACAGCGATACACTTATAACCTTTAATTACACATGTCCGTACTAATTGTAGTGCATCAAAGTTATAACTGTATGGCTCTTTTTAATACGCATTAAGTGTTTAATGTAACCTTTCCACGATGGCTTTTTTTCCATAAAATTACAGAGAAATTGTACAGCAAGTGACCTTGGACATTTTTCTCGCGTTGCCATTGTGGCGAAGTTGCTTGTGAATTCATCTTCTTGGTTCTTTCGGTAAGTCACGTAGAATGGAAATAATAAAATAATAAAAATAAAACATTATAAAATAATTCTCACGACGTTTCGGCCACAACGCAAGCAGCCGTCCTCAGGTGAAGCCCAAACGTCGTGAGAATTATTTTATTATGATTTATTTTTATTATTTCATTATTTCCATTCTACGTGACTTTACCGAAATAACCAAGAAGATGAATCCCTGCAGTCACGAAAGCTTTGAATCGAAATTTGCTTGTGAATTGTTTGCACATTCTTTAGGAAGCCTCTTAAGAGTGGGAGGTCAATTATTTTGGGGGGGGTGTGGGAGGAAGCTGATTTGCGCTCTCTTTTCATGTCCATTATACTTTTAAAATGCAATGCGTGGGAGTACCAAATCCATTACCGTCGATGCATATTCATACAATGTTACGTTTCTGCTTTAATCTCCCAAAGGAGTATTCAGGTATGTGAAAGCATGACCGTTTGTAGCACCAACAGATAATTATCATCGGCCCTATGCAGCTCTTGTGTATACACATTAGTTTTGTGTGTCCCTTGGCATCACCTTTTCAATTAGTGGCGGTATATTGCCAGGAATGATTAATATTTTGGATGCAGCTCTCGTGTATAAACATTAGTTGTGTGTGTCTGTAGGCATCACCTTTTGAATTAGTGGCGGTATATTGCCAGGATTGATGAATATTTTGCCAGGGAACGGTGACGTAGTGGTTAGCACAATGTGCAATTAAATCAGCGAGCCGAATTAAATTTCCAGCCAAAACCAATGAATCACTGGCGGGTGATTTCAGAACTGGTCACCAACCGGTACCGACCAGCTTGGCTAAGTACGAGTTCAAGAAAACTCGCACGACCGGCACGGCTTGGGGAAGCACCTCTGATTAGCATGGTCGGCTACGTACGGTGCAAAATAAGTTCAACGTAAATTCACAACTTTCACAAATCTAAATGTATTTTGGATTAATGATTGTGTATATTTCAATGAGGCTTGCGAACTTCAAGGCTGCAAGCTGCTCATTAATGCGGATAAAAAAGCAATGGGGAAGGTTTCATGATTCACTTCCCACTTCTAGGCACCGATTTATCTGTGGTGGATAGTTTAATAGAAATAGCAAAGCAGCAAATGATGTTGACAAACGACGTCGTTAAAGTGTTTTTGGAAAACAGATAAATGTTTTGATGATGAGCTTAGTAGAGGGATATTGTATATAAATTGACAAAATCATTAATTTCATATCAAAATGTTTATTGATTACAATCGAGTCTGAGAACAACATTCATAAAGTACAAGGAATGCAAATAATACATGGGCAACGTACAAACGATGTATTTTCTTTGCATGCAATTGGCACTTTTGCAGCATAGACTCTGCTACCGATACAGCACATTATACCGAATACAGTCGATATAATTAAATTTCCACAGGAAACAACATTTCTCGCAATAGAGGGACATTAATATGATGACATTACAGTCTACTTAATAAATGTTACACGTCGTTAAAATGCAGGTCCTGTAATTTTAAGAGTAGTTGAACGTAGAACTCTACATCTATTATGGTACAATACAGTAAAAATGTGTAATACCAATATCAATGTTAACATATGGTTGACAAACACAATAACAGGGACAGTTTTTCTTAAGGCACGTAGAAGCCACATTATTTTGGAAATGTCAAATCTGTCACGTTTAAACATGACTAAGGCCACAACAGATGGCTACAAACAATTCTTCATGGAAGAAAGTGTATTCATTTTTTCCCCCACAAATTCATATTCATGGCTACAAAATACTCAAACGTATTTATCATCACTAAGATCAGTTGGGATCCATTGGACCAGATTCTGAAATTGTTTCAAAATATAAATTCAATATTTAATATTGGCCTTGCATGTCTTTTGTAACAAAGATAACCTTATTTACGTGTGCTCTTTTCGTTTTAAAGCAAACAAAAACGCCACACTAAGGATTAACGGGGAGGAAAGTGTTCCATCAGGGAGGAAGGCTTTTCTCAAATTCTGGAATCACCACGGCCTCCACAGCTGCTCGCTCTTCCTCTTGGTGAATGTGAAGTCTTCTGCGCCGCTGTCCCAGGCCGAGCCGTGGGGCCCCGGCGAGAAGGACTGCCGCTCTCTTGTGGACGCCGCGTGGCCTCCAGCGCAGGCCCCCTTGACGTGGGCAGCGGGGTGCAGGGCGCCTGGCGTCTGCTGCTGCACCTTGCAGAGGTATTTGATCGTCAGCTCCAGGATGTCTGCCTTCTCCAGTTTGGACGTTGACGCATGCTGCAAAAAAACAACACATTGTCGATCAATATAAATACATTACACTAATGATTGCATTTAATTAAGCAAGCATTAAATTGCGTAGCTTACAAGTGTAACTCTAAAATCCATAGCTGCTCACCTCATGCTGGCTGCTGTCCAGAACGATGCTCTTCAGGTGCTCCAGGAGGTTATTGATCCTGTCCCGTCTTTGCTTTTCCACGAGAGGTTTTCTGACCTGAAGAAAGAGACGGAGAATAACATTTAGTAAATATCAATGTACTTTCCATGATCACGTCTGTAATGTAAAACATTAGTATTCTGCAATTGTCTTTCTCAATATAGAAACAGTACTTACTTTGCGGGACAGTTGGTAAGATGAGATTTCCAAAGTTGCAGTGGGTGCCATTCTGAGTTCTGACTGCTGCTTCTTCTCTCACTCTTGTGCTTGCTTGTGGCCTTTAGCTTGGATGCCAGGAAGCGATCTGCTCTCAGTGAGAACTCACGCTGCCTTTATACTCGAGGCAGCAATACGGCCTCCACAGCCCCTTTTGTGCGTCAGATTTTCCCACCATCGAACCACCAATCAGGCTGGTGGGAACGGCGCGAGCTCAGCGGAGCTCTCATTGTTTTCCCCAGAGGAACATCTGCCGGTGCTGGCCGCAGCAGTGATGCGCGTGTGTGCCCGGAGAGCATCGCCACAAAGGACACGGAGCTCTAACTCCTCGTGTGCCCTGCGTGCAGCCCATGGGAAAGCCACTCCCCCAAGCAACTAGAACAATCAGATGATTAGACTCACCTTAGAGGAGGGCGTGCGTTTGGATATGAGGGGGGGGTCAGGCTCGTGTTGCTTTCATGGCTCGTATTGACACGACATCGCTCCACGTGCCCAGAAATGTATGACCTCACTTCACCCAATAACCCCCTCCACTACGTCCTAACTAGTTCATACTTCTCTGGATATTCACACGCATGTATTGCCATCATGTAATCATGTAATGATGGCAATACATGCGTTGATATTTAATAATATCGTACCAGTTTATACCAGCTTTGATTATGTCCCCCCCCCCCTTACCTATTAACAAAAATGCAAACACACCTAATGTCCTTAATTAATAATTGGGCTTTCATTTACAGTGTCATTATTGATGTAAAGCAAATATTCTATTTTATGTACTTACAACCATGCAATGGTCCTTCCCAATAATTATTAATTCTGATAATCATGTAATATAATATATATAAGTGTTAAAAATGTTGGGAAGTTAATCATGGGATATGATTTGTGAACACAAAAGTAAGGCTACCACCTTTGTTTCCCTAGGCCATCTGTCGGCCGCGTGGCAGCGTGTGCTCACGTACGGACATGCCCTGGGGGTCTGGGGTTCATGAGAACAGCCCTCCCACGGCACACGCCACATTCAAAGCCCTGGGAACGACACGCCCAACGCTCACAGCCAGTTTGGCACAGCCGCTTAGCCAAATAATGCCCTTGTCACTTTTATTATATCAAACAACCCCACTACGTAATGCCATGGGATGCTCGGAATTACTGACGGACAACATGCACACGGTTAGGTTAATGTTAAATTTGGAATGTTCGTTTTCAAAATCGATGTTTTATGTTTCCTAATGCAATACTTATTTTTTAAAATACAATTATGTTTACACATTGTTTGATTCTTCAGTAGAACACAGAATCTTCTTGGTTCTTTCGGTAAAGTCACGTAGAATGGAAATAATAAAATAATAAAAATAAAACATAATAAAATAATTCTCACGACGTTTCGGCCACAATGCAAGCAGCCGTCCTCAGGTGGAGAGCAGGTCTGTCGAGTAGACTCTGTCTACTTACCGAAAAAACCAAGAAGATGAATCCCTGCAGTCACGAAAGCTTTAAATCGAAAGAACACAGAATGTCGTGATGTAGATCGGCATCCTTTATTTTCACATTGAGGGAACAGCAGAACACAGAATGTCCTTTATTTTCAACCAGGTGAGAGCACATTGAGGGAACGGGTCTCTTCTTCAAGGGAGACCTGACTTCAAAAGGCAAGTGCCAGATTTAACAAAAACGATTGCACAGCACGTAAACTAAGTTTTTGCTGTGACGGTTTCACCTGAAGACGGAAGCTTGTGTTGCCTCCGAAACGTCGTGATTTTTATTGTTTTATTTTTATTAATTTTGATTTCATTTTTTACCTACGTGACTTTACCGAAAGAACTTAGAGTATGAATCCTTGCAGTCACGAAAGCTTCAAATCTAGAATTAAGTTTTAGCTATTATAAACACATCCGCTGAAGTTAATTTAAACTACATATAGTTTTCTGTGATCAAGGTGATTTCAGGAAGAAAAAAAAGGATGCATGCTGAAACGTACTCTTAAAATTACTTTATAAACATTAACAAAAAGCTAAATATATTTATTTTAAAACAAATACAATTCAAAGGTTAACTTTCCTTAACACAGTTCTGTACATGTTTTAGTAATCACAACACAAGTGTAATTTCTGCCATTTTTACGTTGTACAAATGGATTTTTTTGGCTGTAACCTTTGGGCACGCTTCCTATTGTTTGGGGTGACTCTCATGCAGATGACAGTGCTGTGCATCTCAGAGGGTTGCTTGCTTTCTCATTTGAAACCCACACTTGTTGCCAAAAGGTGATCCTAATTTACTAATTTCCCTACACGTTTCGGGGGCGTGGCTTTCCCATGGGCCGTACACATGGTGCAGAAGGATTTGACACTTGAGGGCTTTTGTGGACACCCACGTGTCACTGCTGTGGCCAGCATCGGCAGATGTTACGCCGGGAGGACAATGAGAGCTATGCGGAGCCTCTCGTTCCCACCAGCCTGATTGGTGGCTCAGTGGTGGGAAAATCTGACGCACAAAGGGCCTGCAGATGCAGCATTGGCGTCTCGGCTATATAAACTGCTCAAGTCTGGCACAGAAGCAGATCTCTTCCTGGCATCCAGGGTAAAGACCACAAGCAAGGACAAGAGTGAGAAAATCAGCAGTCGGAACTCGCAATGGCACCTACTGCAACTGTTGAGGCCTCCTCCTACCAACTGCCACGCAAAGTGAGTACAATAACGTGACCTCAAGCACCATACCATTTCCTGAAGTGTTATGAATTTATATTACAGAAAGAAGAATAACATGAGCAACCCGAAATTAACAGCTTATCTTCTTTCCTCAGGTCAGAAAACCTCTTGTGGAAAAGCAGAGACGGGACAGGATCAATAACCTCCTGGAACATCTGAAGAGCATCATCCTGGACAGCAGCCAGCATGAGGTGAGCAGCCATGGATATCATTGGTGCACCTACATGTTTGTTATATTAGATTTTAATTATATTTAACAAGCTATTAAATAATATTTTATTGTACATCTGAATAACATTGGTTTTCAATTGTATTTATTTTTCAGCATGCGTCAACGTCCAAACTGGAGAAGGCAGACATCCTGGAGCTGACGATCAAATACCTCTGCAAGGTGCAGCAGCAGACGCCAGGCGCCCTGCACCCCGCTGCCCACGTCAAGGGGGCCTGCGCTGGAGGCCACGTGGCGTCCACAAGAGAGCGGCAGTCCTTCTCGCCGGGGCCCCACGGCTCGGCCTGGGACAGCGGCGCAGAAGACTTCACATTCACCAAGAGGAAGAGCGAGCAGCTGTGGAGACCTTGGTGATGATAATTCAGAAACCAGTGACTTTTCCGTGAAATATGGTGCAAAGAAGCAGTTTTATGTAAGCAAGTTGTCAAATGAAAATGTCAACTTCTGTGAAGTGTGTTGGTAATAATTTGTGCGGTGTTACAAATGTATTCAATGTAAGATTTTAAAAATCGCCTTCTATAATTTAGTTGTATGGATTTTGCATGGATTATATTAATCTCTTGCTGCGAGTTGAGCAGTGTCGGTAACTGCAAGTACTTGGTATTATTTTAATTTGGATAATTTTCTTTCAAATAAAAAAATCGCTATCTTCAGAGAAGACTATTGTAGCTACAAGTTGTAGAATTATACCACATCTTTGAACACATTAAAGTGTAGTGATTCATTTTTTTAAATGAAGTTTTCAGTTGGGTATTAAATATCCGTGTTTATAGCAATAATGTGCCTAAATTAGGGATGTTTTGCACTCTTTATGGTGATGAATGCATAAAAGGGCTCTTTTGAAACATCGCTGTTCGTGAATGTCAATAAAAGCCAATGTCTCAAAAGCCAATAAATGTCCGCGCTGAATTGTTGAAACTCAATATTGTATGAACAGTATAGTATGATATTGATATAATTTTCTGATTTTAAGAATTGCCAGAAGATAAGACGCACCCAAAACTTGTCAACTAATTTTTATTGACACCTACACACGAACCGAATTGTATAACGCACCGCCAACTTCTGCCTTTATAAAATACGGGGTAAAAAAAGGTGCGTCTTATAATCAGTGGATTACGGAAATCACTAATGTTGTTGTTGGTGGGTGATTCGTTTTTGAGAATTTCATTCTACAAGTAAGGTTTTTAAATTAGTTTTAAATACTCAATATATGTGCTTGTGTGTAAGTAAATGGTCATTCACTTATGTTATGTAAATACACCAAATTTAATTGGGCCGGCAGCATAACGATCGTGGGGGTAGGGGTTGCCTTGGCCCTGGCTGGTGGCCAAAGCTACGATTTGGGGCTTCCTTGACAGCCACCATGAGATATGTTTTCAACAACAGTGTAAAATAACAAGCACTTGTTTCAAATGCAGTTTACATTTATTGTCATAAAAATGCTTAAATTTAAGGTCCACGTTTTATTTTCAAATTAATTAGAGCAGGAACGTTTGGCACCTGCAAATTGCGCAAATCAAATTATTGGGGCCCCCTTAACTGATAATATAGTGACTACGCCACTGAGTTTGGCTACACAGTACGTATATGTCCTCACTCTTGGTTTTATGACAGATTTTTGTTTCAATCCTGGCTTTGGATGAGAAATATGCCTGCAATCCCTCGAGTGAAACACTAGATGGCATCCGACTTTAGTGGCTTCCATTTCGAGTGTTAGTCCATGGACCCTGCATAGAATTCGGCAGAGGTGGGACAAAGTCATTGTTATGCAAGTCCAAGTCGAGTCTGAAGTCATCAAATTCATGACTCGAGTCTGACTCGAGTCCAAGTCACATGACTCGAGTCCACACCTCAGAGGTGGGACAAAGTCATTGTTATGCAAGTCCAAGTCGAGTCTGAAGTCATCAAATTCATGACTCGAGTCTGACTCGAGTCCAAGTCACATGACTCGAGTCCACACCTCAGGAATTCGGTACCACAGGGCACACACATGAACCGCAATGCCTTGTTGATCTCGTCAAGGAGCATTAACCATCACGTGAACTCCGGTCATCCTCACAGCCGCTTTTGGCTCGCCATCGAACAGATGCACTTCTGGAACGCTCTTCCTTCCGATATTAGGAAGCCACTGGAGCTATACACTTTTAAATCATCTCG